TCTGTCTCTCTCTCTGTCTCTCTCTCTCTCTCTCTCTCTCTGTGCTTCGAAGAACACAGCAGAATTCATCACTGTTTTGAACACAGACACAGATGCAACCGCTGCAACTGCCCAACATGTTAAAGCGATAGTTTTTTTTTTAGCACTAAGGCTAATGTTGCTAACGGGTAATGGAAGCTTGTACCCCACCAGTTAGCATCAGACACCACATGAACAGGTCTATTTAAGATTACTTAGCTCTTCCTCGCTAGCGTGTGTTAGATTAGCACAATGCTAATTGGTGTACATAGAATTCTGTTCATGTTGGCTACGTTAGCCTTGTAGCTCCAGCGGGCTGCAGGTTAAAACTGTCCTCTGGAACCTGTCTGTTACTCACTCCGCTCTAACTGCTCCCTGCGGAGGCCTTGCGTGCCAAGCCCTTCAACCAGATGTGTGTGTGTGTGTGTGTGTGTGTGTGTGTGTGTGTGTGTGTGTGTGTGTGCTGGAGGGAATGATGTCATGCCTTAGCTGGAAATAGAAGTCATGATACTGACCAGACGCTCACTGGTCAAAAGAGCGCCTCTTCCTTTCCAATTAAGCTGGACAAAGACATGTGTGTGTGTGTGTGTGTGTGTGTGTGTGTGTGTGTGTATGTGTGTCTGTGGTTGTGTGTGTCTGTTCCTCTTAAAGCTCCAGATCCAAATACCACATCTAAGCCTTGTCCACACTAACATATTTTAAAATACTGTGTTTGTATCAAGTTTTCCATCCACAATGAAACGCTACAGTCCTTCTAATGAGTCAGTCCAGCGACTTTAAGGTGCGTCCACTGCTGACAGGCAGTATAATCTCCATGGAAAAGCACTGACCAGCAGAAAAGGACACTGCAGCAGCTGTACATGAGCCTAAGGTCACCAGGCCCAGTGCCAGGGGGCGGCTAGAGCAGTGGTTCAGTCAGGTTGTATCAAAAAACTTTGGGGGTCCCTGGGGACCGGACTTCATTGTTGCATGTGCCACACATTTTCACAGAGGCACTCAGGTTTTGTGCAGGCACATTTTTCATTGATCAAGGTACAGACAGTGTATATGTCCCCTTAAAGGTACGGCAGTGGTTTTAAGGTCCAACTGTGTACCTTACATAAGCACTTTAATTGTAACAAGACACAACTGGCCAGATGCTCACAAGTAAAATTAGAAATTGAGGCTTCACTGTTTTGGACGTGATCGATATGCGTGGTCATGAAACAGGCAAAGGTCAAATCCAGAATGATCCAAACACAAAAAGGGACAAACATAACAATAACAAAAAAGGCAAACCAGATCCAAAAGGGGCTACACTGTTAGAAATAGAGGTTCTGTGCAGGTACAAACAGTGTAAATGTTCCCTCAAAGCTCCAACAGTGGTTTTAAGGTCTGATTGTGAACCTTAAATAAGTGTTTCCAGGTGAAAAGTTCGTATTTGTACCTTTTCATAACCGAATGTTTTAAACAGAACAGTAAAATAAAAGCCTGGAGACGAGACGGGGTGTGTGGAGTCAGTACAGCTTAGAACATATCATTTCAGTGGTTATGGTTCAGTTATGTTCCCTGACTAAAGGTACTGAGATGGAGCCTTGAGGGTTCCACCCCAGTGACAAGAAGGGTACTGCCCCTGTTACAATTAGGTACCTTTATTTCTAAAAGTGCACCCCTCCACACCATGGCAGATGCTGGATTTTGAACTTTGTTCTGGTAACAATCTCAGTGCTCCTTTTCTTTTTTGGCCTGGAAAACATAACAACCATTATTTCAATAAACAAAAATGAAAGGTTGACTTGTCAGACCACAATACACGTTTCCACTGAGCATCAGTCCATTTCAGACGAGCCCAGAGAAGTCGGCGGCGTTTCTGGTTCTCGATGACCTATTGCATTTGTGAATGCAGCCCCGAATGGTGTTTAAAGAGAGATGAAAAAATGTTTGATTGATTAGGAAAAGCAGGGAAGGTGGGATGGGTGAGGAGAGAGATGGAGGAACAGAGGGATGAGGAGAGAAAGATCAAGGGATGTGTAGCTGTCAAGAAGAACCTCACTGAGAAAAGGAGACGGACACATCAAACAAAGAAGCTGAACAGTGGACTGACCACCCCAGAGTCCAGACCTCAACCCCACTGAATGTGTTTGATTACTTCAGAAAATGATCAACCAGCTTCTAAGACTGAACTTTGGAGGTGTGTCTGCAGATTCTTTGAGGGACTGAAAGTGAGTCTCCTGAAAAGAACGGAATCTGGAATACAAGCAATAAATACTAAAAAATGGTATAATGTTTAGTTGTTGAGGCTTCTGGGTAATTTTCTGCAAAGTAAAGAAAGACAAAGAGGTCAGGCGCTGGACTTTTTTCTGTTTCTTATTTCTGTTCATTTCTTCTGTTTGTGGTTTGTCTTCAGTAGGCAGATGTTAGGATGTTAGTGTGTGTGTGTGTGTGTGTGTGTGTGGGTCAGTCAACATCCTCATAACTGTTTTTATGAGTAGGACAAAACTCTCTCTTTTACTCTCGCTCTCTGGCTCTCTCTCTCCTGTGGTATCCCCCGTATTCTGGGCCTGATGTCGTTTGCAGACATTGATGTGTGTGTGTGTGTGTGTGTGTGTGTGTGTGTGTGTGTGTGTGTGTGTGTAAGGTGGGAAAGTGAAGGAGTCCAGCTGTGTTTGAGTTTCTGCGTCTCTATAAAACTCCTCCGTCCCTCAGCGCTCTGCATTAACCCCATCACAGAGCCAGACACACACTACTCTCTCTCTAAGCATCTCTATAGGAGCTTTTCTAAAGAAATCTAGAAGTATAAACATGTATTACTGTATTTTTTTTTACAACAGTTAGTTCCGGCCACACAAGCTGATTGGTTGAGAAGTGTTCTAACACTGTTATGGCAAAATAACAGCGTGTTTTTTTCACAAACACGGTATCACTCTGGCAACGACTTTGACAGCTGTAGGAGACGCTCACGCCATTTGAACGTTTTTACTTCTTTGCACAAACAGGAAATGGACACTTTTAAGATCACATTTGACTGACAGACGATTTGGTCAGACTCTGAAGATGAGACGACACTAAATTCCCAAACTGTCATCACCACTGAGCAGCTTTTCAGTCGGCAGCTGAGACAGAAGAACAGCTAAACAACCTGGAATCAGCCAGAAATGAACCCAACACCATTCGCCAAACTAAATGGGCTGTAAGATGCTTTACAGACTGGCTGGAACAAAACAACATTAATACTGATCTGGAAAAAACGGACAAAACTGAGCTGAACTTGATATTGCGGCAGTTTTATGGCTCAGTCTGATTTGGTCAGACTCTGAAGATCAGACTACACGTTTGGCGAATGGTATTGGGTTCATTTCTGGCTGATTTTAGGTTGTTTAGGTTCTTCTATCACAGCTGCCGACTGAGAAGCTGCTCAGTGGTGATGACAGTTTGGGAATTCAGTGTAAGGAGCTGGAGAACGAACTGCAGACTGTGCAGCGAGTGGGCGGAGCTCGTTACTCTGACGTACCAACGAGCTGCTTGTTAAGGAGCTATAATTTGGTGAAGCAACTGCGAACATTAAAACATATTAAACGCCGCGTTCACGGCCCAGTTTATTAATTTATTACTGTGTTTATTTAACTGTTGTATAAAAGCAGTAGAACACTCGAGGAGTGTGTTATCGCCAATAACATCACGGCTGTGATGATCTACGGTGACCAAATCACAGCTGTGATGTTATTTCGTGATACTCCCTCTTGTGTTCTATTGCATAAGTAGAACACGTTGAGCTGCATTATTAATGTATGAAAGTTACCATAAAAATAAAGATCATTATTACTGTTATTGTTCTGGACGTTTTCTGGGCACAGAAACATGCAGCCCGTCCATCCTGTGTTGGTCTCGCTCTGTGACACGCTGCCTTTCTCAGACAGAATACGGTGCACTGCACGGCGCTGAGTGGTCAGTGTGACAACACTGTTTTCCTAACAGACGCTTAGCTTCCATTCACTGTTATCCACTTTCAGACATGCACTGTGGGAAATGAAGTCGCTGGTCTGACCTGTGTTGCCTCTTAATTTCATGCACATTATATTTCCCTTTTCCTGACTGAGCACAATGATGCTACTACGTTACAGCATTGCATTTTGGGATATGTAGTCCCTGGTCCTGATTGTTGCTTTCTGGAATATGTACTCTTTGGCCCTGACCATTGCATTCTGGGATATCTCTAGGATGTGGTTTTTTTTTGGTCCTGACTGTTGCATTCTGGGATATATAGTCACTCTGGTCCTGTCGTTTGCATTCAGGGGTATCTTTGCGATGTTTATTCTTTGGGCCTGACTGTTGCATTCTGGGATATGTGATCCCTGGGCCTGACTGTTGCATACTGGTATATGCAGTCCCTGGGCCTGACTGTTCCATTCTGGGATATGCAGTCCCTGGGCCTGACTGTTGCATTCTGGGATATCTCTGGGATTAGTAGTCCTTGGTCATGTTTCTGGCATGTGTAGTCCCTGGTTCTAAATGTTGCATTCTGGGATTCATAGTCCCTGGTCCTGACCTCCGCATTTTGGAATATGTAGTCCCTGGTCTTCACAGTTGCATTGTGGGGTATGTAGTCTCGGGTCCTGTCCATTGCATTCTGGGATATCTCTGGGATTAGTATCCCTTGGTCATGATTCTGGCATGTGTAGTCCCTGATTCTGAATGTTGCATTCTGGGTTATGTAGTCCCTGGGCCTGATTTTGCATTATACAATATGAAGTCCCTGGTTCTCAATGTTCCATTCTGGGATTTATGGTCCCTGGTTCTGACTATTGCATTCTGGGATATGTAGTTCCTGGTCCTGAATGTTGCATTTTGGGATATGTAGTCCCAGGGCATGACCTTCACATTTTGGAATGTGTAGTCCCTCATCCTGACTATTGTATTCTAGAATATATAGTTTCTGGTCCTAACCATTGCATTCTGGGATATGCGGTCCCTCGACCTGACTGTTCTGTGTCTGTGATTTGCAGGTGTATGCGCCGCCTGCCAGCACTGCCGATTATAACCGGGACTCACCAGGGTACCCGTCCTCGAAAGCACCCAGCGGCAGCTTCCCCAGCTCCTTCTTTATGCCAGGTAATACACACACACGCGTAAATATAACGGTGGGAGATATGGCAAAAATATATCACCACAATACTGTTTCACCATACACCATAGTAACGTAAAGGCATTTGTTCTATTGAGAACCATGAGTTCTATATTGAACCATTTCTTGCTTAAATGGTGCTTCGGTTATTCAGATTGAGGGAGAATGTGTTGTATATGGTTCTATATAGCTCCAAAAATGTTCCTCTATTGTTCCATTGTTACAAGCTTAATATCCTTTTTTGGTGCTGTATAGAACTATTTTCAAAGGGTTCTATACAGAACCAACATATTCTCCATCAATCTGAAGAACAATTTCACCATGCAAAGAACCATTTAAGCATGAAATGGTTCTTTATAGAACTTATGGTTCTAAATAAACAATCCTCTTTACTAAAGAACCCTCGAAGAAATCTCTTTTTTAAGTGTAAGTAGTGGCCATACTCGTCAGATACTCAGAAAAGGATATCATGATGTACATGTTGTCATACTCACCATCTCATATACATACACGTATATTAATTAATTAATTAATTAATTAATTAATTACCGCTTGTAGGTATTTAAAACAAATAATCACAGTAACAATATTGTAAATCGATCCCATTGTGTCACAAATCACAGAATATCTTAATTCTCTGGCCCTCTGTCTCTCTTTCTCTCTCAGACGGTCACCACAGTACAGACTTATGGAGCTCCTCCAGCAGCATGAACCAGCCCAGCTACAGTGGCATGCTGGGAAATTCCTCACATGGCCCCCAAAGCAGCAGCTACTGCGGCCTGCACCCACACGAGAGACTCGTGAGTGTATTTGTGCTTTATTGCATCATTATTCATGTCTATTACACATCTATTATACATTTATTACAAAAGTTTAACAGTATAGCAGCATAGAAGCTGTAGCAACTCCACAGAAAGCTCATACTTTTTTGCTGATTAACCATCCATAAATTAACCCTTATTATACAGATGTTTCGGCTTTGTTCTCTCTTTAAAGATACAGTAAACATTTCATTAAATGTAAACCTGTTTAGCCATCCATTAAGGTTATACATTACTGTCCACTGTACTGTAACTCCTACACAAGATATTAGCCCTTAAACAGTCTCAGTAAATGCTAATATACACTAGAATAGGAGATAGTTCATAAACAACCTCAATCAATGCTTATATACTCTAGTATAGGAGATATTAGTTCATAAACAACTTCAGTAAATTCTCCTACACACTAGAATAGGAGATATAAGTCTATAAACGACTTCAATAAATGCTTATATACACTAGAATAGGAGATGTTAGTCCATAAACAACCTCAATCAACACTTATATACTCTAGAATAGGAGATAGTAGTCCATAAACAGTCTCAATAAATGCTAACATACACTAAAATAGGAGATATTAGTCCATAAACAACCTCAATCTACTCTTATATACTCTAGAATAGGAGATACTAGTCCATAAACAACCTCATTAACCACTTATTTACACCAGAATAAGAGATATTAGTCTGTAAACAGCCTCAATAAATGTTTACATACACTAGAATAAGAGATATTAGTTCATTAAGTGTTTGTATACACTAGAATAGAGGTTATTAGTCCGTAACCAACCTCAATAAATGCTTCTACTCACTAGAATAGAAGATGTTAGACTATAAAAGACATCAGTAAATGCATATATACACCAGAATAGGAGATATTAGTCCATAAACAACCTCATTACATGCTCACATACACTAGAATAGGAGATATTAGTCCATCAACACTCTCAATGACTGCTTCTGTACACCAGAATAGGAGATATTAGCCTATACACAATAAATGCTTATATACACTAGAATGGGAGATATTAGTCCATAAACAGTCTCAATAACTGTTTCTGTACACCAGAATAGGAGATATTAGCCTATTCACAGCGTCAACAAATGCTTATATACACTAGAATGGGAGATATTAGTCTATAAACAGTCTCAATAACTGTTTCTGTACACCAGAATAGGAGATATTAGCCTATACACAGCCTCAGTAAATGCTTATATACACTAGGAGATATTAGTCCATCAACAGTCTCAATAACTGCTTCTGTACACCAGAATAGGAGATATTAGCCTATTCACAGCGTCAACAAATGCTTATATACACTAGAATAGGAGATATTAGCCTATACACAGCCTCAATAACTGCTTATATACACTAGAATAGGAGATATTAGTCCATCAACAGTCTCAATAACTGTTTCTGTACACCAGAATAGGAGATCTTTTTTTTTTACTGTGATTCCCGTAACATCTGTCAGTGCGTGTTCTTTCGCAGAGTTATCCGTCGCATTCCTCGGCGGAAATCAACCCCAGTCTTCCACCGATGTCCACTTTCCATCGCAACAGCGGGACGAATCACTACAGCGCCGCCTCCTGCACGGCCACCACGAACGGAACGGACAGCGTTATGGGTGAGTTAGAGAGAGTTTAGCTTCATGAGGTTGAATTTAGTCAAGTAAACTTAATACACAGAATGTGTGCTAATACTGTTTTTAGCTATGCTAACATACGTTATTACATGTTTATAGCGAACAGTGAATCGTACAGTGTCAGAAACTGCAAAAGTGAGTCTGTTAGAGACACTAAACTCCTCCACACGGTTTGAAGCTAGTATGTGATGATTTATGCAGTTAGCACCGTGCTAATTGTCTAGGTGTAAGCTTGTGCTATATGTTAGCAACATTAGCCTCGTAGCTCCAGTGCTGAAACCAAAGAAGCAACCAGAGCTCCAGTGCTATACCATACAGAAATTTGGTATATGGCAAAATATGGATTTTAAATATATCACATATATTAGCATGTATGGATTTCCCTCATATACAGCTTGATACGGATCTTTAATAAAATGGTTCTATATAGAATCATGAACTCTCAAAGAGGGCTCTTTACATCATGAAAGGGTTTCTCAGTTTGATGGAGAATGTGCTGTAGATGGGTCTCTATAGAACCTTTTTCAAAAGGGTTCCATACAGCACCCAAAAGGGTTCTTTTATTGTTCAAAGCTTGATGTTGTGCTATATAGAACTATTTTCAAATAGGTTCTATATAGAAGCATCTACAGCACATTCTCTACCAGTCTGAAGAACCCTTTCATGATGTAAAGAACACTAAACATGCAAAGGGTTCTTTGAGTGTTCATGGTTCTATATAGAACCTTTTTTTTTTTACTAAAGGACCCTTGAAGAACCATCTTTTTTAAGAGTGTATATGATATCTGCCAACTTATTTAATAATGGCCATTTTTCAAATATGGGTCATATATTTCAGCCATAAATCAACATATATAAACATATATATTTAACAATATAAGACAGAAGTATTGTTCACATGTGGGTGGCATATATTACTCATGTGTGATAGCTTCATTTTATATAATATAAGGTTTTTATGCATACTTTTTCTTATTTTTTTTAAAATTAGTGTAATAGCTACATATCTAAAGTCGAGGAACATGCACATTGCAGATAAGCTGGGAATAAAATAATTAAATTATGAAATAAATGATAAAATTGTTCCCTGACACATTGAAATAAACTACTATTTAAAAGCAAACAAAGAACATAGTAACATTAATAACTGTACTGGGAGGTATTGAACCACAAATATATGTTTGATGTATGTAACTATAAATAAATGTAAATAAATACAGAATGCAATGGTTTGCAAATCTCATAGATCCATATTTTGTTCACAGATCCTAGAACACATATCAAAGGTTGAAAGAGACACATTTTACCATTTCATGAAAAACATTAACTCAATTAGAACTTGACGGCAGCAACGCATCTCAAAAAAGTTGAGACAGGAAAACAAAAGGCTGGAAAAGTAAGTGGTACTAATTAGAGCCTTTTAGAGAGGCAGAGTCTCTCAGAAGTAAAGACGGGCAGAGGTTCACCAATCTGCGAAAAACTGCATCAAAAAAGTTCGGAAAAATGTTCCTCAACGTAAAATTGTGAAGAGTTTGGACATTCCACCATCTACATTACATAATATCATCAAAACATTCAGAGAATCTGGAGTAACCCCTGTATGCAAGGCACAAGTCCAACGGTCAGTATTGGATGCTCATGATCTTCGGGCCTTCAGGAGGCACTGCATTAAAAACAGGCATGATTCTGTACTGGAAATCACTGCATGGGTTCAGGAACACTTCCAGAAATCACTGTCTGTGAACACAGTTCATCGTGAAATCCACAAATGTAAGTTAAAGCTGTATCATACAAAGAAGAAGCCACATGTCAACATGATCCAGAAACGCTGCTGTCTTCTCTGGGCCAAAGCTCATTTAAGATGAACTGAGGCAAAATGGAAAACTGTTCTGTGGTCAGATGAACCAAAACTGGAAATTCTTTTTGGAAACCACAGACGCCGTGTCCTTTGGACTCGAGAGGAGAGGGACCGTCCAGCTTGTTATCAGCGCACAGTTCAAAAGCCTGCATCTCTGATAGTCTGGGGCTGCATTAGTGCCTATGGCGTGGGCAGTTAGAAAGGCTCTATCGATGCTGAACAGTATATAGACGTTTTAGAACAACATATGCTCCCATCCAGACAGCGTCTCTTTCAGGGAAGGCCTTTAATATTTCAGCAAGACGATGCTAAACCACACACTGCATCATCACAACAGCATGGCTTCACAGCAGAAGAGTCCAGGTGCTGAACTGGCCTGTCTGCAGTCCAGACCTTTCACCAACAGAAAACATAGGGGTTGTATATATTATGCATATATGTTCAATATCTGATGCTTACATGTATGTTCATATAATTTGAAATGTATGCCTGATATGATATATGTACGTATATGGCCATGTATCGGTTTTCCATGCGGGAAAACTGAGGATGCAAATGTGTCTCGGTTGATGGACTGTATTTGGAAAAAGAGGGAAAATTGGGGTAAACATGAATCCTTTAATCTACTTTGGGTTTCGCTCAGTATGTCATGTCATATTTTGTTTGTATTGGCACAGATCAGATATGTTGAGCTGCGTGAGAGAAAGAGAAGTGTAGCTAAATGTTGTTTCTTATTTTCAGATCGACTGGAGTTCAGATCTTCAGCTCGATATCAGGCTAAGCCGCGCTTCTGCCCTCCTGCCTGGGGTGAAAAGTAGCTTCTCCTCTCTGTTTAGCCTCCGAATACAGTCCCGTCACCTCGAGCCACCGGAGAGATAACCTGATCAGATCAGATCAGATTAGATCAGATAAGATCTCAGATGAGGCGATAGGAAGGGACGAATGATCCTTTCATGCAAATCGGTGTCACGTGACTTTCTTGGCCTACAAAACTGTGTATTTGTACCAAAATGAATGAACTGACTTCATAAAGCAAGACTCAAACACAGGAAACCAGACAGGATTACTTTGATATTGCGATTCTGGTAGGAGAACATCAAAAGTTTGGGGACAGCTAGCGTTTCAGGGCATCTTTAAAGGGGAATTCCACCGCTTTTTCAAAATATGTACATAAATAAGTGGTTAAGAATTGGTCAGAATTGTTCACAGTGGTGGTGATAGGAACCAGACGTCCACCTCTAAAAGCTCCCTCACAGAAAGTTACTACATGAAACGGTTATGAATTCACTGCCTGATGACTGAGACACTGTTTTACAGTAGTTTTGAGATAAACTATTTGACCTGAAACATAATTTTTCCCTCCGAAAATATGCTGTATGGAATATTTTCATACATAATTCAGAAATGACACCCATGTTTGCTGGGATTTCCATGCTGTATATGTATATGACATTCACAGTAGTTTTGGCCTAAAATGTATTTTTCGAAAGCTGTCCATGGTGAAAGGATACATGCAGGGCGCTGTGAGGCAAAATAGTCCCCAAAGAAAACTTATTATTTCAGATTTTCCACTATTTTCCATCATCAACATTCCATATAAACTCAGAAGACTCGTGTAGGTTCACTGGTGGTTCTGGATAGTGAATAAAATGTCTATATTTGTGTTGTAGTCATGGCGACCCCTGGTTCCTATCACCACCACTGTAAAGACGTCTGAACCATTTCACACCAAACCACTCTGAGTCACTCTGTTTCCATCTGAATTATTCAGATATGATGAAAGATCAGCGGAATTTCTTTCTGTAACATGTTAAATAGAAAGCTGTTTATGTCTTTATAAAACTATAAACTGCACAATACAGTGGGAACCCATTAGTACACTCAGTGGCCACACTCGAATCTTTCAGCTCTTTAAACCAACTGTGGGCCAAAAGAGCTTCAGTTTGCGCTTTAAACAATAATTTGTAAAAGAAAAGCATTATTTAGACAAAACCTGCTCTTCATACCGCAGGAGATACTTTGATGGACTTGAAGCCAAGTATTAAAAAGTAGCAACATAACTCAGAAACTCTAAACCAATTCAAAAGAAGTACAAGTGCCTTTCTGAGTTTGATTGGAATGTTTTTTCCATCCTTATCTTCTTTCCTCTCAGACGTGCCTCCATATGCTCCGAGCCCCTTCCAGTTCCTCTAAATAAATAACCGCACAATATGAAACAGACCAATTTTTTTGCCTGTGTTTATTTTTTAAAAGACATCACCGCATTCCTGTGTAGTTTGCATGCTGAAATAATAGACGTTAAAGTGAATCCCGGAGCGCCGCGCCAGCACGCGCCGCGGGAGTCCACTCTGTTTGTTTCTGCATTATTGCTGTTTCTTGTAAAAGTCTGCAGGAGATGAAACAGAGATGCACATGAGAGAGATTTAGAGAGACTGACACATGTACACTCACTGGACACTTTAATAGAAACACCAACCTTGCGTGTCTACTAACTGGCCACATTATTAGAAACATCACATTGTGCGTCTGCTCACTGGCCACTTTATTAGAAACACCCACCTTGTGCTTCCACTCACTGGCCACTTTATTAGAAACACCCACCTTGTGCTTCCACTCACTGGCCACTTTATTAGAAACACCCACCTTGTACTTCCACTCACTGGCCACTTTATTAGAAACACCCACGTTGTGCTTCCACTCACTGGCCACTTTATTAGAAACACCCACGTTGTGCTTCCACTCACTGGCCACTTTATTAGAAACACCCACCTTGTGCTTCCACTCACTGGCCACTTTATTAGAAACACCCACCTTGTGCTTCCACTCACTGGCCACTTTATTAGAAACACCCAACTTGTGCTTCCTCTAACTGGCCACTTTATTAGAAACATCACCTTATACTTCCACTAACTGGCCACTTTATTAGAAACACCCACGTTGTGCTTCCACTCACTGGCCACTTTATTAGAAACACCCACCTTGTGCTTCCACTCACTGGCCACTTTATTAGAAACAGCCACCTTGTGCTTCCACTCACTGGCCGCTTTATTAGAAACATCACCTTATACTTCCACTCACTGGCCACTTTATTAGAAACACCCACATTGTGCTTCCACTCACTGGCCGCTTTATTAGAAACATCACCTTATACTTCCACTCACTGGCCACTTTATTAGAAACATCACCTTGTACTTCCACTAACTGGCCACTATATTAGAAACACCTACCTTGTGCTTCGACTAACTGGCCACTATATTAGAAACACCCACCTTGTGCTTCCACTCACTGGCCGCTTTATTAGAAACATCACGTTGTGCTTCCACTTACTGGCCACTTTATTAGAAACATCACCTTTTGCTTCCACTCATTGGCCACTTTATTAGAAACACCCACCTTTTGCTTCCACTCACTGGCCACTTTATTAGAAACAGCCACCTTGTGCTTCCACTTACTGGCCACTTTATTAGAAACACCCACCTTGTGCTTCCACTACCTGGCCACTTTATTAGAAACACCCACCTTGTGCTTCCACTACCTGGCCACTTTATTAGAAACACCCACGTTGTGCTTCCACTTACTGGCCACTTTATTAGAAACACCCACCTTGTGCTTCCACTTACTGGCCACTTTATTAGAAACACCCACGTTGTGCTTCCACTACCTGGCCACTTTATTAGAAACACCCACGTTGTGCTTCCACTCACTGGCCACTTTATTAGAAACACCCACCTTGTGCTTCCACTACCTGGCCACTTTATTAGAAACACCCACGTTGTGCTTCCGCTACCTGGCCACTTTATTAGAAACACCCACGTTGTGCTTCCACTCACTGGCCACTTTATTAGACTGGCTGCTTTAATAGAAACACCCACCTTATAGCTTCACTAAATAGGTGTACAGTTTCAGACCTTAGTTGGGTTTTTTTAGCTGACTGACAGTGACCAGTGATTGAGAGAGGGGGGGGGGCTGTTTAAAAGAGCAGACTCTCTTCCGTGGCTGGTTGGGGGGTTAAAGGATCTAAAGCCTGCGAATCCCAAAAGCTCCTCACTTTGAAGGCCGCGGTGGAGCTCAGCCATCGCTTACTGAGATTGGTGTGTTTGTTGGGGGGGTGAGGGTGGGCACGGGTGGGCTCGTATGCAGGACATTAGAGAGTGCAAAGAAACCAGAAGAGCAAGGAGAGAGAGCGTAAGAAAGAGTGGAAAAAGAAGAAGCGGAAGGGAAGAGGGAGAGTGAGAAAGAGCAAAGTGGAAGGGACGAGAGAGAGAGAGCAAAGAGAATAGAGGATAAAAAGGAAGGATGGAGAAAGAAAAGAGTGCAGGGGAGAGAAAATAGTAAGGAGAGATGATGGAGGGAGATAAAAGAGTAAGGAAAGAGAGAAAGGAAGGAGAGAGATGAAGACAGGAAGGAGAGAGAGATACAGAGGAAGGAGAGAGAGAGAGCATATGTAGTATTGAAGTTCTGAAGAAGCTGAGTTGGAGGAATGAGGTCATGTTTCAGCTTCAAGGCAGAGAGCAGCATACAGGGTGTGTCTGTGAGTGTGTCTGTGAGTGTGTGTGTGTGTGTGTGTGTGTGTGTGTGTGTGTGTGTGTGTGTGTGTGCGTGTGTGTGTGTGCGCGCAGTACGGAAATGGAGAGTAAGTCGTCTGTAATGCGTAAATTCCCCATCTGGAGCTGCACAGTAGAGACTGTGGTTAGAGACGGCGAGCAGCATGTCAGAGGGGGCGAGATCGGACACATGTTCTCTCTCACTGAGGGCTCCATGTATTGAACCTTTAAACTCACAGGAGAACTCCAGTGATTTTTCAAAATTTCTGCATAATGAAGTGAGTAAGATGTAAACAGAGTCATTCAGAGTGGTTTGGTGTGAAACGCTCCGTTCTAGATAAACTTACTGAGTCAGAACTGTTCACAGTGGTGGTGATAGGAACCAGACGTCCACCTCTAAAAGCTCCCTCACAGAAAGTTCCTACATGAAATGGTTATGAAATCACTGCCTGATGACTGAGACTTACAGAGGGATACATGCAAGATGTGAGGCAAAATAGTCCCCAAGCAAATTTATGACTATTTTCCATCATCAACATTCCATATAAACTCAGAAGACTCGTGTAGGTTCACTGGTGGTTCTGGATAGTAAATAAAATGTCTATATTTGGGTTGTAGTCATGGCGACCCCTGGTTCCTATCACCACCACTGTAAAGACATCTGAACCGTTTCACACCAAACCACTCTGAATCACTCTGTTCACATCTCAATGACACCATTATGCCAAACTTTGAAAAATCGGTGGAATTCCCCTTTACTTTTAAGTGGCTCTATGTAATTCTGTGCCAGTGCTAATGTAAATTTCTCCTTTAAAATGAAGAGGGTATGTTTTGGATTAGGATTAGGGATACGGATGGCTGTTTAATTCGTTAAATTCCCACAGACAGCCTAGATTGAGAGGTCATTGAGCAGATGTTCACATCAGCATTACACCACAGCACACACTCAATAACAATAACAACACATAACGCGGCCTATTAGCAGGTTTTGTTATCCCATTAGCATGAGAACAGCTATTACTGAGGTCGCTGTGCTTTCAGCCAATTACAGAAGACTATTCACACAATTATTACTATCAGAATTATTATTGCTAATCATTTGAATTACAGTCCAGTCGAATGCAAAATTAAACCAGCTGAATTCAGTGACACCTTCTTCTTGTGTTTGTTGTGCAGCTAACCGGGCGCCGAGTGGAGCAGGAAGCAGCTCACAGACTGGGGACGCTTTAGGAAAAGCCCTGGCTTCGGTGAGTGACCAGGCCTCAACTGGCCAAACCATGTTCAAAACTTCCAAAAAAGTCCAGTGTTTTCTATCAGTGCTGACCTACAAATCTCTGTCCACAAATGTTTCATAGTGACCGGGTCGGTATCAGTTTCAGACACAGTGTTGTTGTTTTTGAGTCAGTTCAGACACAATATTGTTGTTTTCGAGTCAGTTTCGGACACAATGTTGTTGTTCACGAGTCAGTTTTAGACACAATTTTGTTGTTTTGGAGTCAGTTTCAGACACAATGTTGTTTCAGTTTGGGGCACAGTGTTGTTGTTTTCGGTCAGTTTGGGGCACAGTGTTGTTGTTTTCGGTCAGTTAGGGGCACAGTGTTGTTCTCGGGTCAGTTTCAGGTTTGAAACTTGATGCTAAGGGTCAAATTGGGTTCAGTCAAAATTTGGCTCTGTTCGGGTTCGGATCCAAGCCGTGGTGCTGCAGTTCTGGTCGGGTCAAGGTTGGACAGAAAGTTCTTTAGCACATACACATTAATACACAAAATGAACCTCAGGGCAGAGTGGATTATGGGTAATGTAGTTCTCAGGTTCCTTACGTAACGCTACAGTACACACTTTCATCTTCACTCTGAGCTAATCAGTTTGCGTTCTTAGCTCATTAGCTAACATTAGCAGCTAGTGTTCACATGTCATTACGAGACGGATCTGTAAGGCGAAGGCGGCTCGGGCTCTGTTTGTTCCGGCGCTTTCCGGCTGGTTAGCATTTCTCTGGGGTGCGTCTGTAGAGAGCTGGGTAATTGAAAGGTGATTAAATGTGTGTTTAGTTTTGCTTACGAAGGGCAGAACGCTCAGTGAGGTAATTAGTTTGTGTGAGTGTGTAGTGTGTGTGTAGCGTGTTTGCATGTGTGTGTGTGTGTGTGTGTGTGTGTGTGTGTGTATGTTAATGTTGGTGTGTCATCAAATAATCACATTTCTCTATAAAAAAAGACTTCAGGTCAGCAGTTTGGAGGAAAAGGGCTTAGACTCGCATATAACACAAACCTCAGGTCCTAAAAGTTGGACAGACTGTGGAATGCAAACACAAACTGAAAGCAATGATTTGTAAATCTTTGAAAAAAGAAAATGTTTTATCTTATCAACTTCATCATTTTTTTTTTTTTGTAAACATATCATTGCTGCTGGGACAAAACCTGGTATCTCAATTTTGATCATTTTTCATTTTTTGACATAATTTGAAAAAGGCAGTTGTTCCTTATGTTGTGTCAAAATTTCATGGTGAATCGACCAAGATAAATGGTTCAAAAGTACTCGGGAAAAAAATATTTCTCCATTTACTTCCACTTAAAGTTAAGAACGTTTTTCATTCTTCTGTAAAGTTACCTTTTTGGAGTTGCAAGGTTTTGTTCCGACAGCAGATATGGTCTTTCTGAAATTGATGCCTGCAGCTTGTTCCAAAAGTGTTGCAATTTATGACTATGAACGTTATGAAATGTTGATAAAACATGATGATGTTGTCATGCTTGCATATAAAAGGAGCATCCAAGAAAGGCCTTGTCCTTTATCAGTCAGTTCTAGGACGGGTCGATGCTCGCCTCTTGGCCAAATAACGCATTCGCAAATAATCCAACAGTTTAAGAACAATGTTTCTCAACAAGTGATTGCACAAATTTAGCTTATGTCAGCCTCTACGATGCAGAATATCATCAAAACATTAATTCTGTGCGTAAAGGAAAAGGCCGAAAACCATAACTCAGTGTCTGTCACACAGCACTGCTTTAGAATCCAGCATGTTACTGTTATTGATTTTTTTCCTGGACAAGCTCTTTTGCTCACTATCGGACACTAAATCTCATGTGCAGAAGGATTAACTTTTATTTGCATATTCCCCAGCATTCCTTGCCAGATTAAAAATCTGAATTATAATCTTTCCAACTGCATTACACCAAGCAGCCACTTCATTAATGCCACCTCCTTGTACCTACACTTATTATCGGCTCCACCAACCATATAGTTTCACTCTGTAGTTCTACAATTACAAACTGTAGTCCATCTGTTTCTCTGCATACTTTGTTACCCTGTTCTTCAGTGGTCAGGACCCTCACAGAACAGGTACTATTTGGGTGGTGGATCATTCTCAGCACTGCAGTAACACTCACATGGTGGTGGTGTGTTAGTGTGTGTTGTGCTGGTACGAGTGGATCAGACACAGCAGTGCTGCTGGAGTTTTTAAACGCTGTGTCCACTCACCGTCCACTCTATTAGACGCTCCTACCTTGTCAGTCCACCTTGTAGATGTAAAGTCAGAGACGATAGCTCATCTGCTGCTGCACAGTTTGTGTTGGTCATCCTCTAGTCCTTCATCAGTGGTCACAGGACGCTGCCCACAGGACGCTGTTGGCTGGATATTTTTTGGTTGGTGGACTATTCTCAGTCCAGCAGCGACACTGAGGTGTTTAAAAACTCCAGCAGCACTGCTGCGTCTGATCCACTCAGACCAGCGCAACACACACTAACACACCACCACCACGTCAGTGTTACTGCAGTGCTGAGAATGACCCACCACAAGAGAACGAAAGACTGATAATCAGTATAATATCTGTGGCGTTTTAAATTAATGTGATATTCAGTTTGAACTATCAGCTTCCCAGAGCGCCCACTAGTGGATTTATCAGTCGTGTGCAGCTTCTAACACACGTACACCCTCAGTAAATCACTAATTCCTGGATTAAGCCTCCTTAGGGGGCTTTAGTGGAGATGTTTAACATTAATATGCATGCTTAGATTAGACGTGTGTGTGTGTGTGTGTGTGTGTGTGTGTGTGTGTGTGTGTGTGTTTGCTCATTTGTCACGGCTGTGTGTGTTATCATTACAGATCTACTCCCCTGATCACACCAACAACAGCTTCTCCTCTAACCCCTCCACTCCAGTGGGATCTCCACCCTCTCTCACAGGTAAGAGTGTGTAGTGTGTGTGTGTGTGTGTGTGTGTGTGTGTGTGTGTGTGTGTGTGTGTGTGTGCTGCTTCCTCTCAGTTCTAAATGATTGAACAAAAGACCCCTTAAAGGCTTTTACATTCCCAAAACTCCAGAGAGAGAGAGAAAGAGAGAGAGAGCGAGAGAGAGAGCTAGATAGAGGAGAGAGAAGAAAGATAGAGAAGGAGAGGGATAAAAAAAGGGGAAATAAGACGGTAAAGAAGAAAAGATAGAGAGGGAGAATTAGAGAAAGAAAGGGAGAAGGGGTTGGACAGAGGAACAGGAGAAAGATAGAGTAAGATCAAAAGGAGAGAGAGAAGGAGATGAAGAGTGGAAGGAAGGGGAGAGAGAATGACAGAAAGCAAGAAAGAGATGGAGTTAGAGAGCAAAAGGGGAGAGAGGGAGAGAAGGGGAGACAGAGGAAGGGGAGAAAGAGATAGAATAAGAGAGCAAAAGGGGAGAGAGGGAGAGAAGGGGAGAGAGAGGAAGGGGAGAAAGAGATAGAATAAGAGAGCAAAAGGGGAAAGAGGAAGAGAAAGGGAGAGAGGAAGGGGAGAAAGAGATAGAATAAGAGAGCAAAAGGGGAGAGAGGGAGAGAAGGGGAGAGAGAGGAAGGGGAGAAAGAGATAGAATAAGAGAGCAAAAGGGGAAAGAGGAAGAGAAAGGGAGAAAGAGACAGTAAGAGAGCAAAAGGGGAGAGAAAGAGACAGTAAGAGAGCAAAAGGGGAGAGAAAGAGAAAGGGAGAAAGAGACAGTAAGAGAGCAAAAGGGGAGAGAGAAGGAGAAAGGGAGAAAGACAGCAAGAGAGCAAAAGGAGAGAGAGAAAGAGAAAGGGAGAAAGAGACAGTAAGAGAGCAAAAGGGGAGAGAAAGAAAGAGAAAGGGAGAGAGAGCTTGGGGAGAAAGATAGAGTAAGAGAGCAAAAGGGGAAAAGAGAGTAAGAGAGCAAAAGGAGAGAGAGGAAGGGGGAAAAGAGAATAAAAGGAGAGAGAGAGAAAGAGAGTGGAAGGGAAAGAAGAGAAAAAGAGAAGGAGAGAGGAAGGGGAGAAAGGTGAAGACAGAGCAAAAGGAGAGGGAAGGAGAGATCGAGAGCTGTAGGGAGACAGAGAGAGAGTAAAAGGAGACAGAGTGAGAGAGAGAGAAAGTGGAGTCTGATGGAGAGAAAGGAAGGAGAGAGATGGAGCGAGAAAGACATGAAATACATATAGAGAGAGACAAAGAAAGAAGGATGGAGACTAAAGGAATGGGGCGAGAGAAGGAGAAAAAAGGAGGAAAGAGTGAGTGAAAGGAAGGCGAGGAAGAGAGGATGGAAAAAAAAGTAGAAGGAATGAAGAGGGAACGAAGCGGCAAGAAAGACTGGAAAGTGAAAAAGAGTAAATAAAAGAGAGATGAGATAAAAAGAGAGAGAGAGGCAGCTGCTTACACCAACTCCGAGTTGGAGAAGATGGCGTCCGAACTCGGTGTCAAAATGCTGTAACTCGGCTCGTCAGGCCTGAAAGACGGCTCCATGACGACCCGTTCCCACGGCAACTCCCTCCCCGCTTCACGCGCACTCGTACAGCTGTTGCGTCCCCGTCCTCGCCGCCAATCACCGCGTCCTGCGGCTGCAGATGCTGCGAGAGGCCTTCGTTAGTCGGCGCCGGCTCGTAAAAATCCTGCTTTAATTCTGGTGGTGTCCGAATCGTTTGATGTGTCCGAGCGTTCGACTGATAGAGTTAATTACGGACACGTTTCAGCCGAATCATTTCGCCGTGTTACCAAAGAGGCCGAGAAACGTCGTCACCTAATTAGCGTTTATCAAAGAGCTCGTGACGGCACAGTAAATGTCATTATACGTTAAATCAATTAGACGCTTATTAATACTCACAATTACAAATTGATATTAAACCCCATGCAGTGAACTTTAAGCGATTCGTTTAAAGCACATATACGACTATATATGTTTTTTATTTAGTCGGCATCGGCAGCTGCATTTGCACATGAATGTGGATGTAATTATGTGCTAATTAGCATATGGAAATGAGTCCTGATAAAAAAGGGGAGGGGGGGGATGCTGCGAGAAAACCCGCATATCCATAAAAGAGGACAATAAAAACAACGTAATTAGGTGTAATATGCGTAATGAGGAAAAGGGGGTGAGCGTGGAGAGAGAGAGAGAGAGAGAGAGAGATCAAGAAAGATAGAGAGAGAGAGGGGTCACGGAGGAAGAAAGCGAGGGATGGATGAGCACGCTCTCTTCCCCTTTTTAATTGGCTGTGTAATCCTCAGCCGGTGGCGGACAGGTTCACATCTTAACGAGAGGAGGCTTAACGAGGGCCACCTTAACGAGAGGTGTGCACTTGAACACCTGAAAGAAGGTGATGAAAGAGAAAGAAAGGGAGGGGGGGCGAGGGAGAGGGGAGAGAGAGTGAGAGAGAGAGAAAGAAAGGAAAGTGAGAGAAAGAGAGAGAGAAGGAGGAGAAACAAAAAGGGAGAGAGAGAAGTAGAGAGAGAGAGAGGAGAGGGGAGAAACAAGAAAGGAGAGAGAGAAGTACAGAGGGAATGAGAGAGGAGAAACAAAATTATTATTATTATTATTATTATTATTATTATTATTGTACAATATTATATTTGAGTCTTCTTAACATGTCAATCTCACTCTCCTTTCTTCTTCTCTCCTCTCCTCTCCTTTCCTCCCCTTTCCTCTCCTCTCTTTTCCTCCCCTCTCCTCTCCTCTCCTCCCCTCTCCTTTCCTCTCCTCTCCTCTCCTCTCCTCTCTTCTCCTTTTCTCCCCTTTCTTCTCCTCTCCTCTCCTTTCCTCCCCTCTCCTTTCCTCTCCTCTCCTCTCCTCCCCTCTCCTCTCCATCTGTTCTCCTCTCCTGTGTACTTCTCTCCTCTCCTCTCCTCTTTTCTCTCCTAATGTTTCTTTTTTCTCTCTTTTTATTCTTCTCATCTCTTATCTTTCTATCTTTTCTCTTCTCCAGCTGCCAGTTCGGCCGTTTGGTCCAGAAACGGTCAGGGAGCGTCGTCCCCCAATTACGAGGCCCCCCTGCACTCGCTGGTGAGACCTGCTGCGAAAGTTCTGTTGACTTTTGTGGAACTTAATCAGTCAGTCAATCAATTAATCGGCAGCAGTATCAGCTTTTCAGCATTTGAACTCTCTCTCTCTCTCTCACTCTACAGCAGAGTCGTATAGAGGACCGGCTGGAGCGGCTGGACGATGCTATCCACGTCCTGCAGAGGCACGCGGTGGGTCCCTCCACGGCGATGGCCGGCGGTCACGCTGACCTGCACGGCCTCATCGCACCCTCACACTCACACAACGGCGCCATGGGCGGCCTGGGAGCGGGATACGGCACCGGTCTGCTGTCCTCCAACAGACACTCGCTCATGGTAGGAGCTCACGGTCATCCTCTTTACAGCGAAACACACCGACCACAAATCAAACCGCATCGTTCACACCAGTCGCTCCACTTCAGGGCTCCGACTCAGTCCAGCTTGTAATGATGGTCAGGCAGCTTTAGAAATGATGGCGAGGACGCACAGAAAGAGGGATGACCCTCTTTCTTTCTCTCTCTCTCTTTCCTCTTCGCTCTTTGTCTCTCTATCCTCTCTGTCTTTCTCTGTTCCTCTTTCTTTCTGTCCCTTTCTCCTTTTCTGTCTCCTTTATTCTCTTTCTCTCTCTTTTCTCTCTTTCTTTTTCTCTTCCTCCTTTTTCTCTTCCTTTCTCTCACATTTTCTTCCTCTTCTTTTCTGTCTCCTTCTCTATTCTTTTCTCTCTCCCTCTCTCTCTCTCTCTCTCTCTCTCCCTCTCTCTCTCTCTCACTCTGCTGTTGGTATTGTAGGTATGTGGTCTGTTATGACTTGGTGTGTCGGTGTGCATGAAGCATCATGTGACCACTGCGCATCACAGACAGCCGACAGACTAGAACCAAATACAGGAAATGAGAGAGAGAGAGAGAGAGAGAGAGAGAGCAATGGAATAGAGAGACAGATGGAGAGAGAAGAAGAGAGAGCAGGGAAGACTTGAAAAGAAACATCAAGGAAGATTCCGCTAATGTCTCCCACATTTAAGCTTGTTTTTTATTCTCAAAACAAGTCGTAAAGCTTTCAGCGGCTGGAGAGAACAAAGAGAGAGAGAGAGAGAGAGAGAGAGAGAGAAGAAGGAATGACAAAAAGAGAGGAGGAAAATGAGAGAGGGGTAGAGAGAGAAAATACAGAGAGGAAACAAGACAGAAAATGGAAAGAATGTAGAGAGGCAGAGAGAGAGAGGAGGGAGGAATGAGAGAGGAGAGAGAGAGAGAAGATGGAGAGGGAAATGGGGAGAGAGTGGAGGGAGAAATGGAAAAAAAAACGGAAGGAATGACGAAAAACAAAGAGAAAGGAAAGTCAGAGAAAGAGAAAAGAGTGAGAGAAAGAGAGAGGGAAAGAGAGAGGGAAAGAGAGAGAGAAGAGGGATTGAGAAAGGAAGAAATGAAAGAGCGAGCGAGAGAAAAAGGGAAGAGGTAGAGAGAGAGAAAGTAAGGAAGAAATGAAAGAGAAAAAATAAGAAAGAGAAAAGAGAGAGAAAGAAAGAAATGAGAGAGAGAGAGAGAGAGAGGCATAGCTGCACATACACACTCTGGACAAACAAACATGGCCTTGTGTTTTTATAAACACTCAGGAGGAGAGCTCTCAGTGTGTGTGTGTGTGTGTGTGTGTGTGTGTGTGTGTGTGCGTGTGTGTGTGTGTGTGTGAATTGAACGCACCTGCTGTGAGAACCCTTCAAGAGCACAACACTGTGTCCAATTACCGCTCTGTCACGCACACACACACACACACACACACACACACACACACACACACACACACACTCGCCCCCACAGCTCACCTGAGTGTGTGTGTGCCTGTGAGTTCATCGGCTCTGACCTTTGACCCCACTCAGTCTCTCTTTGGTGGTCCGACGGCCCATAAAGTGCTGCGTGAAGTTCTCAGTCCAACACTTTCCAGTGGAGAACCGTGACTAGCAGAGCTTAACCTTCAGTTTCCAGCCCTGTGATAATGCTAACTTCAGCTAGCGCCCCAATAGGATTTCTAATAGTGTGTTAGCGCTAAGCTAACAGCAATTTACATAAACATCCTGGATTAAATGCAGACCTTTAAAGCTCATAAGACATTTTGATGGTTGTGTGTATCAGTGTTACAGTGACACTCAGTAAAGGGTCCTGATGTAGAGCTGCTGCTGCTGTTTTCCAATCCTAACAACCACCTGGAACCCGGCTGGACTATGACTCGTATTCACAGTGTGATTGGTTGATTCCTCTGCCACTTCCTGATTAATTTGGTGCTTAATCTAATATGATGGCCTTCTGTCCAGCTCCCGAAGTCCTAACCAATGGGAGAGCTCACTTCCTGAACACCACAACAAAATTCTTATTGGATAATTTTTTCCATTGTCCCTTTCAAGCCTTTAACCCTTATGGTTCCAACTCAAACTTAACAATCGGTGCGTTTACATGCACTTAATAATCTGATAACTGCAGAAAATCAGATTTTGTCAGTAAACCGATCAACGTCTTTACATGCACTTGAGTCATCAGATAATGGGAAACTCCAAATCTGAAAGAAATCAGAGTAAGAGTTTATATGCACTGAATAATCTGATTACTGAGCTAAAATCCAGCCTCTTTATCAGATTTCTCAATCAGATTTCTAAAGTGTGTTGTTGACATGACCATTTGAGTAATCAGATAACTGCAGAAATCCGATTATGATCGGATTATTGAATGCATGTAAACACACCCAATAAATCAGTTATGACAAAACTTGCAGCGTTTGAATACAACAAGCATAGTGATTCAATAAAATAATAAAGAAATAAAATTACAGACATGCTAATGTATAAATGTAACTGTAAACTAGAAAAGGGAAAGTTTGTAAACAGGCTTTAAGTTGGCTCTACAAAGCCACTTCAGGCCATTGGTTGGTGGTTGTTAGGTGGTTGCTAAGGTTTTGCTAGGCTGTTGCTATACTACTCCAGGTGGTTGATAAGATGTAGCTAGACCGTTGCTATGGTATCCCAGGCGGTGGCTATGGTGTTGCTAGGCCTTTGCTATGGTGCTCCAAGGTGGTGGCTAAAGTTTTGCTAGACTGTTACTGTATTCTTCCAGGTGGTTGCTAAGTTGTTGCTAAGCCATTGCTATGGTATCCCAGATGGTTGCTAAGGTGTTGCCAGGCCATTGCTATGGTATCCCAAGGGATTACTAAAGGCATGCTAGGCCGTTGCTATGCTATCAAGCAGAATCTGGAGAAATATGTTTCAGACGGCTGTTAAAATTAACAGATGGAGTTGATATGGGAATATGAGTGGCACGTTCTCCGGGATCTGTGACCGCTATGAGGTTGCCATGGTGTTCCAGCTTGTTAGTTGGTTGCTAAGATGTTGCTAGGCTATTGTTATGGTATCCCAAGAGGTTGCTAAAGTGCTTCTAGGCTGTTGCTCTACTATTAAGGACAATCTGGAGAAATATCTGTCTGACGGCTGTTAAAATGAACAGATGATGTTGCTATGGGAATACGAGCCACGCGTTCTCCTGTATCTTTGACTGCTATGAGGTTGCTATGGTAATCCACCAACCAACACCCTAACAACAAGCAGGATTACCATAGCAACCTCATGCTTTTGCTTTTATCAAAGTAAAAGACTATGAACATCTTAGCAACCGCCTGGAACAATGTAGTAACAGCCTAGAAAAACCTGTTACTATATTATTCCAGGTGGTTGCTAAGGTGTTGCTAGATGGTTTACCAAGGGGTTAGTAAAGGGTTGCTAGGCTGTTGCCGTGCTATTAAGGAGAAATATCTGTCTGATGGCTGTTAAAATTCACGGATAACGTTGCTACGAGAATACGAGCCGCACGTTCTCCTAGATTTTGTATAACTAGATAAAACAGCCGTGTTACGGTTCACCCCGGGGTAGTTTGCGCTCCGTACTCCCCTTCTTATTGTACCAGTTTGTTGTGCTCTTCATCTTGGAGTTTATAGTCCTGCTCTTAGTCAAACTCCTAGCTGTAAAACACCCACTCCACTGAACTGCGTTTCAAACACCAGCACAGTCGGGCCTTTGTGTCGGAGAAACAAACAGCTTCGTAATGTTGCTGTTTATTTAATCTTTCATATATTTATTTACTTTCCCCTGCTGGTGAGCGAGGCGTCCGCGCGCATGTTTTCCAGCGTTAATGAGCTTGTTATATTAACATAAATAAACAACGAAGGCTGAACAAACGCTTGCATTATTGCATGGCCGGTGGGTGATTGGCTGGATTCTACTGTGGGCGGAGTTTCAGATTTGTTTTAGCCCTGACACATCGCAGTGCTGAGTTAGAGACCTGATCTCAGACCAGAATCCTCCATGTTTATGATGGTCATAGTCACAAAAACTGATTCCAGATCAGCACTCATGCTGCTAAGTTGGTCAGTGAATACACGCCTTTGTCGTTGACGTGAAGGCCAGTGCATGATGACCTGAGAGATCAGAGTGTGTTCAGGGCAAAGCCATTAGTAGAAAAAGTGCTGTTTTTACTATTTTAAACTTGGTATCCTATAATAATCTACTATGAATTATTCAGCATCTACTATGAAGTGTTCAATACCTATTGTTGTTTATTCAGTATTTACTATGAATTATTCAGTATCTACTATCAATTATTCAGTAACTACTATCACTTATTTAGTAACTACTATGAATGAATCACTGTCTACTGTGAATTATTCAGTAACTACTATAAATTGTTCAATACCTGTTGTTATTTATTCAGTATGTATTATGGATGATTCAGTATCTACTATAAATGATGCAGTATCTGGTGTCAGTTATTCAGTATTGACTGAATTATTTAGTAACTACTATGAATTATTCAGCATCTACTATGAATTATTCAGTAACTACTGTGAATTATTCTGTGTCTACTATAAATGATTCAGTATCTACTGTGAATGATTCAGTATCTATTATGAATGATTCAGTAATGTCTGTGAAACTAACGCATGTGTTCTGTAGTTCTGAGAAGGAGAAACTGAAGTGTGGACACATACAGATGTTTACAGTTGATGGGGTTAAAATAAATTCTGAATGTGAGTTGAGTGATTTCAGTGGAGCAGTAATGTGGTCTGTTAAAAGTCACTTAAGTGTCACTGTCTGCATTACACACAGAAAATGGAAGTTGATGTAACTGTCAGGAGCTTAAAATCTCACTTTACTGTGGAAAAGATCTCTCTCTCTCTCTCTCTCTCTCTCTCTCTCTCTCACCCTCTCTCTCTCTCTCTCTCTCTCTCTCTCTCTCTCTCTCTCTCTCTCTCTCTCTCACCCTCTCTCTCTCTCTCTCTCTCTCTCTCTCTCTCTCTCTCACCCTCTC